TAAGGGAAGTTTGTAATATTTTAAAATTGAGCTTTTCTAATGCTATTTAGGCTGGTGGAAACTTTCGTGTGTTCTATCACTTGCAAAATATAGCTGAACTCTTGTATTAGCATCTTGCTCTTGGACATATGAAAGGATCATAAAAAACATTCCAGCTATGGCTTGAAATCCCCGGGTGTCTGAAAGCAGCCATTTGGATACAGGCTAATCCCATCCCCACAAACCCCAACAGATGATCCAGATTCTTGATCATGTCACACATGCTCTAAATAAGTGAGCTATTTGCTGGGACTTGGAGAGACTGTAACATACGAACATCTTTATTGTTAGGACATTTATTATTAAAACATTTGAACTCTTCAGATATTATTTTATAGATACTTTATAATAATTTTATTATTTTAAAATTTGACCTATACAAATATTGCTTCATAGGTGCCTCTAGAGAGATTTTTAAAAATACAGACAATTAGAGAACCCTCTCCATGGCAAATCAGGGCCCAGCTGCTGCCGCTCCCTGAAGTCAAAGAAGAGGCCAAGCTTAGCTGGGATCGTGCTCGAATCCCAGGCCGTTGAGGCCACCACCCTGTCCTTCTGCTGCAGGAGCGAGGCTTCCTGACACTGTGGCAGAAACAGCTCAGATCCCAGTGAAGTGACCCCCGCCTGTCCCCTGTTTTCCCTCTGAGGGTTCATAGCTTCTCTTCATAGCGTAGCTTAGTTACATTATGAGGGGAATAGAGGGCTTGCCTGGGTAATGCACAGTAATGTGTAATTTTGTATGGTTTTGTATGGAAAATTAGTTCAAGTTTCTAAAAACAAACTTTGGAAACTCAACTTGTTTTAATTTGGGGACTGACTGCAGCTTTCGTTCTGTGTTGCCTTACTTGCGTGCTCTGCTTAATGCCCGGTTGTTAAGAGAAGCAGCCTCCAACCAGACTTCCTGGGTTCCCACCCTGGCTCCACCACTTTCTCCCACTGTGACCTTGAGTAATTTATCTAACCTCTCTATGCCTCTGTTTTCTCATGCGTAAAAGTGTATAATAATAGTAATTCTTCAAGGTTGTTGCGAAGTTTGAAGGTACTAATTCAAAGCACTTAGTTGGTCCTCCATAAATGTTGTTGAATGAGTGATTCTCTGGTCTCTTTGAACACCTTGCATCTTCCCTACCAAATCTAGGTAGTGTGCATGCTGAGGACTCTAGCTAACCTAATCTGATTAGCTCACCGGGGGAAACCCAGGAGTTGTTGGCCTACTCCAGGCCCACTTCACTCTGCTCTGGGCCACAGACCACCACCCCTCTATCCCCAATCAGCTGCCTGGCTAATGGCAGCCTGGGCAAATGGCAGCCCAGACTAGGAAATGTTTAAAGTAGGCTCACAGCACAGCCCATTCCCATCCTAGAGAAAACCGCTCAGACCTGCTTCCCACCTCCAGACCCCATCTACTACAGCTCTGAAGCTCGGTCCTTCCTTTCCTGGCTGGACGCTGCAAGGGGAGGAAGACGGGGCTCATGGATTGATAGCCCCTCATTTTGGGCATGAGCTTCTGTTAGTAAGCCAGGCACCCTGGGGCACAGGTAACAGTTTTAGCCCCATGGCCTGACTTAGGGTCCTAGAGACCCAGCCTGGAAGCTTTCAGCTGGGGCTTTCTTTGTGTTTCTGCCCCACGTGCCAAGTTCAAGTTCGTAAAGGAGTGAGGGTGTGGTGGAGATAAGTGGGGATGAATTCAGGTATGGAAATATTAAAGTTTAGAGCCTAAAGAGGAAAAGCCCTGGGAAACACGTATAGCCCAGAAAGAGGAAGAGGAAGAGAGCTGCAGTGAAGGCACCGGAAGAGTTGTCTGCGAGGGGAAGTAGACGTAGGGCCGCATGGCACCAGGGTTCTCGAACCATCGGGAGGGCATATGTGCGTGTGTTTCCAATCTTTTGCCCAACAATACTATTGTAAAATATAATAAAAAAGAATTACCAGAGAAATGAAATGAAAAAAGACAACAATATACAAGCCTTAGTTTTTTTTTTTTTAAATTTATTCTGTCAGATGGCTTGAAAAGTTTCTAAATGCTTACTCTCAATTTCTGTGCTTACCTCATGAAGGACCGGTAACAGTTGGCACCCCAGCCCTGGCCCACAGATTGCACTGTGAGCACCGCTGCCTACACTGTAGAAACCAAGAGGTGTCACGTAAAGAAAGGACTGAGAAAGTGGTTAGGTTTTACCAGAAATTCACCAGTGACCTTTGGGGGGCAATTTCAGAAAAGGGATGCATGTAGGCGCCAGGTTGAGAAGGTAAAGGGAAGAAGAACCAGGGAACTTTGGTAAACTAATTAACAATCAGAACAGTCTCTGCTCCTCCTCCCCTCCCCCCAGTTAAAAATGTTGGCAAGGAAGGTGAGAAATAGCAGAACAAAGGTCATTGCTTCAAATGAAAGTTTTTCAAGATAGAGGAAACCTGTGCATGTTTAAATAAAAAGAGAAAGAAACTAGTGGAAAGGGAAAGATTTAAAATGCAAAAAGGGGCCGGCCCTGTGGCTTAGCGGTTAAGTGCGCGCGCTGCGCTGCTGGCGGCCCGGGTTCGGATCCTGGGCGCGCGCCGACGCACCGCTTCTCCGGCCATGCTGAGGCCGCGTCGCACGTGCAGCAGCTAGAAGGATGTGCAGCTATGGCATACAACTATCTACTGGGGCTTCAGGGGAAAAATAAATAAATAAAAAATAAAAATAAAATAAAATGCAAGAAACCTCCAAAGTTTGGAAAGGAGGCAAATGGCCTCTGCCTGGTTTTGCCGGCTCGAGCATGGCATTCACCACCCTGTTCCCTGCAGTCCAGCTTTGCTCAGCGTCTGTCTGTCTGTCATTTCCTCAAATGCACCAAGCTCTCTGTAGCCTCAAGACCTTCACACATGCCCTTCCCTCTTTTTGGAACACTCTTTCCCCTACTAAGTTCTTTTTATCCTTCAGGTCTCAGCTTCAGTGAGTGACTTTCTCAGCGAGGCCTTTCCTGATGCATCCCCCAACCTAAATTGAGTTCTCCTTGATATTCTCGCGTATAGCAACCTGTTCTTTTCCGTCGTTGAACTTAACCCAGTTTATGATTCTGTTTATGTGTGCATGCGCCAGTTGAATGTCTGTCTTCCTCCCTAAAATGTAAGCTCTCTGAGGCAGGGACACTGACTGGTTTTTTTTTTTTCCTCCCCAGAGCCCCAGTACCTAGTTGTATATTCTAGTTGTAAATCCTTCTAGTTCTTCTATATGAGCCGCCGCTACAGCATGGCTACTGACCAAGTGGTGTGGTTCCATGTCCGGGAACCGTACCCAGGCCTCCAAAGTGGATCGCGCCAAACTTTAACCACTAAGCTATCAGGGCTGGCTTGACACTGACTGTTTTAGCCACTCCTTGTTTGTCGAACCCTGAGCACAGTGCCTCCCACAAAGTAAATTTTCAGTGTAAAACACTGGCTACATAAATAATAACAGCACCATGACAGTAATAGTAATAGCTAACGTTTGTTGATTGCTTGTGAGATGCCAAGGACTTTACAAATGTTCTCTTTGCTATTCTTTGGACAATCCTATGAGATAATTACTATTTTACAAATCAAGTCGCTGAATTTCAGCCCAGTTAAGTAGTTCATCCAACGTTAAAATGCTTCTGAATGGAGGATCCAGGATCTGGATCCAGGTTTACTTAATCCTACAGCCACCAGAGGGGCCCCTTCCCCGGGGGCTGGAGAGAGATTGGAAGTTTGGGTGAAGAAACAAAAACCATATACATTTCTAAGCAGTCAGCTACAATTATTTGCCATCTCGCATATATAGAACACTGTGCTAGACACGTGTTAACAAAATAAAAGAGAAGAGCGATGATTCCTGAGTCATGGTAGGGTTGTGACCATCTGCACCCTGAAGGAGGAGTAAAGGGCCAGGATCAAGTCAAGGCCAGCTCGGGGACATGCCCCATTTAATCTGGGTGGACCGCGTATTCACCTAGGTTCCATTCCAGGAAGGCTCAGGTATGTTCAGCAGAAATTCATAACCAATGTGCTTGGGGGTAGAAGGTGAGCCTCCATAGCCTGATGGGCAGGGCCATTCTGCTCCAGACAGGGGGAAAGTTGTGGGTTAATTTGCTGAAGGATAGGGAGAGAGAGAGGAAAAAGAGGGGAGGTGGAGTGAACCTGTGAGATGGCCGATGTTTTGTATGTTTCATAATATGACCCACCTCGTGATATTCCAAATGTTCAGTAAAGTTACAAAAATCACAGAAACTCAAGGTAGGTTGCTGTGTGTGTGTGTGTGTATGTGTATGTGTATGAGACAGAGAGTTGGAGAAGGGGCTGGACTTCACATTAGAATCAACGTCAGCAGAACAGGGACAGCCCATGTGGATGTAGGGTGGGAGGTGGGGTTAGAAAGTAGAAAACCATAGAATGTGCCAGGCCACAGACTGAGACCCAGCCACATTTGCACAGATCTCGGGAGTGGCAGGGTAGGGTGTCTCAGCTGGCCTCTGGGTTTCATTCTGGCAATAACCACTTGGGTGAGAGAAAGGGGAGATGCCCAGGCCTCTGGTCCGCTCTCAACTGGCCGTCACTGCTCCTTTCTGATTGTTAATGCTTGCTCTGTAAACATTGTAGAACATTTGAAAAGTCCAGAGAAGAAAAAGTGCAGAGAAGCCACCAGCCATCCCTCAGTCCTGAGATAGCCGCTGTGTATTTCATTTCCTTCCCTTCTTTTTATTTTTTGTGTATATGTTTGTTTACAAAGCTGGGACTATATTTTATATGTATACTTTACTGTCTTTACTTGGTGTAATAGCATAAACATTCTTTCAAGTAAAAGCCACATTTCTTATTTGAGGATTTTCATACCTTCTTAGAAAAAACGGAGTTGATTTCAGTAATAGAAATTATTGTAAGAAAAAAATTTTTTGGTATATAATCTCTGAACCAGCCTAATTTGATTTGAATTCTTGGTTTTTTTCCTGCCGTCTTGTACAACCCAGAAAGTCCTATGAGTTTGAAGACTTACTGCAGTCTTCCTCTGAGAACAGCAGGGTGGACTGGTATGCACAGACCAAGTTGGGGCTCACACGCACTTTATCGGAGGAGAACGTCTATGAAGACATTCTAGGTAAGAGGCCATATGTCTGTGAACGGCTGTAAGTATGTCTGTGAGAAAGGGGAGAGAGGCAATGGGGCTGGCTGCTTGCAACACACACACAAACACTCGAAGACATACACGTACTCAAATAAACGAGAAAGAAGTAGATGAGTGGAAGAGTGACCCATGGTGGAATATGTGAGAGAAAATGGGGCTGGAGGGGAGGGGAAGCACTAGTGATGAACAGCCAAGGAGGCAGCGTAGTGCAGCGGGACACACATGAGATCTGGAGCCTCAGTATCCATGATGGAATCTTGGCTCTGCTACTTATTAGCTACATAACATTGAGCTGATGACTTAACGTCTCTGAACTTCAATTCTCTCATCAGTATGCTATGGGTGATGATAGCTACTTTGCAGGGTTGTTTGAGGACTGGAGAAAATTGTATGCAAAATACATGGTTTATAACAGATGTTCAGTAAATCGTAGGGATTACTAAATGATAGAAAACTAAAGACCACCATACTCTTTCTGAAACTGTAGGAGTGTGGTAGTAACAGGGCATCAAAATTCAGACTAAAATGACTGTCTACTATTAAAATAGTAACTTTAGCCTAGCTCTGAAGAATTCGCTCAGATTCCAAAGTGGGGCTCAGAGTCACAGAGTTTGTATAAAGCATTTAAATTTGGTGAGTTAAATAATCTTCAGAGAGGATCACAGTTTCAGTGAGGTGTAAACTCAGACCAGTGTCTGAGGGTGGGGGTGAGGGTCGGGGAAGAAACGTGCTGGTAGGAGGGAGGGACCCATATGTGGCCACATACAAGGGGCAGGTAGGCAGATACACACGTCCGTACCTGCATGTCATCATCAACACCAGCAACCACGCCGTGAGAGGAGGAAACACGAGACTTGAGGAAGGGCACATACTTAGCAGAGCTTTTTGAATTGCACCAGAGACTATTTGAATTGCTGTGTCCAAGCTGCCAGAGATGGGTTTCTGCCAAAGCAGCAGGCTTCCCAAATCCAAAGTGGGTGTGAGATCTGGACTGCTCTTAGCACTGTGTACCTGACAGGGAAGCGTTCAGTTCCAGGGAACAGAAAACCCAGCTGAAACAACAAAGGAAGTTTGTTGACTCATGTGACCAGAACTGGCTTTGTCTTCTTCATATCCTGTCTCTCAGGTTAGCTCCATTCTCAGTAGGTTTCCCATGATGGCTGCCATCCACTCCCTGGAATCCGTACCTTGTGGTGGGGGGAGGACAGCCTGTGTCCTGTGAAGTCCCAGCAAAAATCCTGAGGTTCACTCTGACCAGACCGGTTTAGGTCTCTTGCTCTCCTTCAGAGCCCAGTAGGCTTGGGATATGATGCCTTCCAGAATTGGTCACTGAGGCAGGGATTCAGGATACTCCGAATGGCTCAAGCTGTGAAACTGGGAGTGGAGTTGATCTGGTACATCTAAGAATGGGGAGACGGAGTTACCCCAGTGAAAATCAAGGTCTGTTACCAAGAGGAAAGGTAAATGGTTAGCAAGACAACAGACATCCCCACAAGGAGAGGCCAAGATGTTGGGTAGAGATCTGATAAGGAAAACTTTCTTAGTGTTTCCAGTTGCTGATCCATTGCCTTTGACCGCAGATCCACCAATGAAGGAGAACCCTTATGAGGACGTTGAGTTACATGGTCGCTGCCTGGGGAAGAAGTGTGTCTTGAACTTTCCAGGTTCTCCCACCTCTTCCATCCCTGACACACCCACCAAGGTATGAGCCCCAGGGGAGTGGTGGGGGGAGAGGGCTCCCCAGCACCATGGCCTTGAGCAGCCTGGAGTTCTAGGTTACACTGGAATGCCAAGGCCACCCTCACTGCCAGGCTCCTGGATTTGTGCATCAGCTGCCTGCCTGCTCCTTTGCCTCTGGTTCTCCCGTAAGCCCTCTGCTCAACAAGGCTTCCTAAAGTGTCATTTTAGCTTCTGGGTCAGAAACCTCCCCAACTGGGTAAATAAGATAGTATATCCATATTATCCATCTGTAAAGAAGAATGTCCTGACATAAAACAAAAATGTAAGACTGAAAGGCATGGTGCAGAAACGGTATTTTTATAGTATGCCACCATTTGTGGGTTTTTTTTGTGTGTGTGTGTGAGGAAGATCAGCCCTGAGCTAACAT